CCGCTCTGTGTTAGTCCCGCGAGCGGTTCGCCGGGGGATTTCAAGGCACCGTCACGGCACTCGGGCGCCGATTCTCTCGGGGAAGGGCCCGACCGCGCCGCACTCCCCGGGACCGCTGAGGCTGTCCGGCTTCGAGCGGAGGGAAGAGTGCGATCCCCGGCCCTCGGTGTCCTATTCGGTTCAGCCACGGTCTCGTCCTCCCGGCGGCAGCCTCGGAGCTCCTCGGGGCTTCCTAAGGGCCGTCCAGCGCATTGTGCGCCGGAAGGTAAACGCAGTCCCGCGTGGATTCCCCCCTCGGCTGCCCCAAGGGCATGTGGAAGGAAGGCATCACCACATATTCACTGTCCACCTGAGCTGCCCTCCTTTTGGAATTTTGTTCAGAAAATTAGAAAAACAATAAGAGATCACTCTTACAATTCCGTCACTTCTTTAACCCTGCTTCGACAGCACTCAACACCATTACACCCAACAGTTATCACTGAACACGTTTGAGGGCCCACGACGTGGTTGGGAGTCCTCCAGGCAACTTTTGGATTACCTTAAATGTTTGTAATTTGTAAGCCTGCTAAGGGTTACAGATATATTTACATAAGATTAGTTATCGAGGCTTGCCAGCACTGTTCTAGGTGCTTCACAAATATAACCTTATTTTCCGCTAACTATTCTGTGAGGTAGGTATTTTTTTTTTCTTTTTAGAGGCGAGAACTGACGCTCAGGTTAATTCACTTGCTCTAGGCCACATAGCTAGTAAGTAGTGGATCCAAATGGGAACCCAGGCTCCAACGGTAACCTGTCTTTAGAAAACGGTTGTAAAGATGGGTAGGGAATTCCCTTCATAAAATGTGACTTTGGACTTCTCTATTTAAGAAACACCTACTCTGCGAATAGGACAGAGCCCTATGATGAGAAGAGCATGCTTTAAAAAAAAAGTTTCCATTGATTTCAGAAAGAGGAAGGGAGAAGGGGAGAGAGATAGGAAATGATCTTGATCGGCTGCCTCCTGCCCGCCCCCTACTGGGGGTCAGCCCCAAACTCATGCCTGTGTCCTGACTGGGAATCGAAGGGTGACCTCTTGGTCCAACCACTGAGCCACACCTGCCGGGCAAGAGCATGATTTTTAGTATCCCATCATGTGCCAGCACATTCTGAACTTGAACTCTTTCTGGACAAGCCAGTTTATTAGTAAAATATTAAATATCAATTATTATTCTAAAGTACAATGCCTTGATATTTTGCTTTTCTGACAAATCATATTTTATTTGTAACTACCTCAAAGAGAAATATATAGGGTAGTGGTGAACAGTTTAGCCAATCACAAAGGAAAAAACCCATTCGAAGAACTGTTACCAAGACATTGGGAGGTGGGTGACTTCTTGCCCAGGGTTCCCAGCTGTGTTTGTACACGTAAGACTTGAAAACAGGAACAAGACGAGGTTGCCGCTTTCCTTTCAGGTGGATCCCGGAAACTGAAAGCCACTTTGAACCCTGCCTTTTTGTTCACTAAATTCTGTGTTCCAAACCCTAAATCTTGGGCATGTTACCTTCTCAAGCGGCTGCTTTCTTGCTTGCTACCTGGGACCAGTGGCCTACTCCCCAATTTCATCAAGCTTTTCAGATTTTTGAAACAGGAATTCAAGATACTAAAACTTTGTTGATGGTGTTTTGGATTGGGGCTTTCCACAAGTGGTGATACTGAAAAAATCATCCGTAGGAAACTACCTTAAACAGACCCTAACTAGATCTCAGCTCCACAGTTCGTAAATGTGGTGAGGTGTGTTAAAGAACAGAAGCTCAACCCCGGTAAATTTGAAGATCTAATTGGCTTTATTAAATGATCCATGAATTGGCAACTCATCTAGTAAATAGAAGGGAGCCCCAAGTAGTTGTACAAAACGGAAGGTTTTTATAGGCAGGAGGGTGGGACAACGAGGTTAAAAGAATGGGTTGTTTCAGACTAGGTCACCTTCCTTTGCGAGAAGGCAGAGGGATCTTTTCAGGCAGCTTACCTCGCCAGTGATCAGGAAATTGCTGATTGATTTAAAATTCCACTCGTGGGAGAGAATGAAACTGCATATTGAGTCTTGGTGAAGCTTACCACAGTGACTCCGTTTTGGGTCTATTTCTTTTTAACAGGTGCTTCTGGCTTCTGTTAAGCTGGCTGCCTCTTCTGTCTCTCCGCAGAAGACAGTGAATGGAGAATTCTCCCTAAGGTCAGCGTTTCATTAATTGCCTCGCTCTGGCTGCTACAGTATCCCAGGCATCGATCCAATCCTACTATCAAAATTTCCCGGAGATTGCCAGCAGGTCGGACCTCGGTCTTCCAGGGACTGCCCCGAGTCGCTGAGTGGAGTGGGACGCGCCTTGAGCAGTTTACTATCTCCGTGGGCGGTGGCCCAAGGCGCGGGACCTATCCCATGACCCGATTGGGCCTTGCCCCTGTCCATCATCCGACGGCTCTGGGCGCCGACTGTTTTGCCGTAAGATTTGGAAGTTGAGCACCGCCTCTGGAAACGAGGGGCGTGAAGATTGGCGAAGGTAAACGTTGTGTGTATTTTTCTCCTCATTGGATGGCTACTGTGTCAGTCATACTCTCCGCTGCTCCCCTTGGCGGGAAGGCTCCGGGCTGGTAGCGTGGACACAGTGCTGCCCCGCCCAAGTTGCGATCCGGGCGCGTGACGTCTCAGATATTTGTTGTTGGGGTTTGGGCCTCATTAATTATTCATTAACCCTTGAAAGGGCTGCAGCGATTGGTGGCTGGGAAGCCTGGTCAATTGTTTCTTCGCTAGAGATAGGTGTCGCCCTCTACGCGGCCGAAAACGTTTCGCATAAATTATTCCGATGAGGTGTGGGGCGGGACTACGCATAGATTAGGCAAATGAGCAGGGGAGGGACGCGAGGCCGGGTACGAATTAGCCTAAGTTATTAAAGATGGCGGCGGAGCGGAGTCGCTCCCCGATGGACTCGCCGGTCCCGGCCTCTATGTTCGCCCCCGAGCCCAG